TGTTGCTTTGTTACTGAATATTAGAGAGCTTTTAAAACCATTGTCTTACAATGTTTCTTCCATGTAACATAAAATTCACATTCATTCATTGATGTAATCATAAAACTGAATTGTTTAGATGCATTTGCCAATGCAATATCTTCCAAATGTTGGCAATGCATTAACAAATTAGTGGCTACCATTAAATACTCTATTAAACTTCTCAACTGTTTCATTAAAAATATTTGGCTGCCCACGTTTCTCTTCTTTACACAGGCATGTGGAATTCTTGAACTGTTGATAACATTGTTGAATACTCCACTGACTTTGTGGAGCATTATACTTTTCTTGAAATAGATGCTGCATAGTAATAATTGATAAACATTTTGCATATTGTAAAACATAAAGCACCTTTGTTATATTAAAATGGAATTCATATGTACACTCTTGACTATCTGGAAAGTTTGAGAAATGCCTAATGCATAATAAGTGAAAATTCCAGATAAGTGCAATTCACAGTAGAAAAGTAAAATTTATTTAAGAAGTTTCTGACTTAAAATGTCATTTTATTTGTTACTTACTTAATTTGTTACTAACTCATTTTATTTGTTACTCACAAAATAAAAAATCTATATTTAAAATTATGCGAGACTTTGAAGAAAAAAAGGTGCATTTCAGGCATAAAAGATGTCATACTTCATAGGACTTAAAAATATGAACATTAAAACATCTTATCTAATTATGAAATCCTGTCCAACTATGAAAGTGAGCAAAGATAATCACCAAATTTTGCCAATCATTTTGACAGAAGTTTAAAGGGGCATGCCATTCTTTATTTAGTTAGATAATTAACAGACAAGGTCACAGATATATATATAAAAGACTTAAAATGCTTATCATGATTTTTCTCATTATGTCACCATTTTTAATCAGTTTTCAAAATCTGACCGATATTATATTATGCACATCAAACATATTTCTTGATACTAACATCTTTTAAACTTTGAAAATACTCCACAGCTTGCTGTTCATAAAAGAGTAATTCCAACTTTTATTGTTAATTAGTTTTTCAAAATGCTTTGAAAAAACAGGAAAAAGCATTTAATTTATATCTATCTTTACAAAAACTAAACTGCTTATCACAACCTAAACATGCTTACATAAGACTTGAGATCCTCTACAAAATGAAGCTGGCACTTGCTATCATTTTTAAGCTTATAAGTTGTACATAGCATTGACTATTAGGCTATGTGAGGAAGATTATTATAACGTGAGAATGTTGCCAATTTTTTCCACTTCCTGAAAATGAAGCCTATCTGGCAGTTGGTGGAAGTGTTTCAAGATCAAAACATGCCTACAAACCACTGAAAATATACTTATTTCAATGACTTATCTTAACAGGTTTAATAATTTTTAATGAAACACAGGGCAAATGTTACATATTTTATTCTAATGTATAACTGATGGCATTTATAATGTATTGTAAATAAGAAATATTGTGTAATCTCAATGTACAATATGTAATATTAGCATTTTAAAATTAATTTTATGTGGATTTTACATAAAGATTCTCCAATTACTTTGTACACTATAAAAGTGCAATATCTTTTTTTAATTATATATAAATAACACTTAAAATAAAAAATATGCAAAATATTATATACACACATAATAAAATCCTAACACCAAGAAGAAATCAGTTTAGGGAATGAAATGCAGGTGAAGTATTTGTCTAGGTAACATATTTATTTGATTAATGTTTCACAGTTTAGAGTATGTATTAGAAAATCCATTTCAAATGTGAAATAGTGGTACATTAGTAATTGCTATAGTAACCATGATGTTGAATAACCGCTATAGCCACCATGCTGTGCTACATTAATAACCACTATAGTTGCCATGATGCCTTTAATCTGAGCACTTTCTCTGAGTCGCCAGCAACTACCATTGCTGGTTGTGAATGCAGATCCAATCCCAGCAGGGGGCAAGATAGTGCACAGCACATGGGCGACCAAATGATTATCGAACATATTTATAATTCTCTCAAAAAGAGCAGCCAATTTTAATTTGCGCAAAGGTCTAGGATCAGTACTGTGTAGATGACATTGGATTTGTTGTTCAATCATGCCCCATATGTGCTAGATGGAAAAAAGACTGGGTGATCTTGTAGGCCAATGCAACATGTCAACATTTTGTACAGCATGTTGCGGGATAAGAGGGATATAAGGGTGAGCATTATCTTCTTGGAAAATGTCTGCTGGAGTATTGCTCAAGAATAGCAACACAACCTGTATGATCATCAGTCTGACATACAGCATTGTTATCTTGCTCCTGCTGTCATAAGATATTGCTCCTGAGACCATAAATACCTAGTATAGATCCAATGTGTCAATGCCGTGGCCAGACCATATTACCAGGTATACATCCAATGTGTCTCTGCTGCAGCTAGACCATAAGACCTGTAATTAAGACACAATAACACACCGAATAAATACTAATTCAGAAGTCAAACAACAAAAATCAGCGTTATATTTACAAAATTGTAATATAACGTAACTGAATTGTAATAAATTGTAATAAATTTTGTAAATATAACGCTGATTTTTGTTGTTTGACTTCTGAATTAGCATAAGACCTGTGCAAGTCCAATTTGTCTATGCCACAGAGAGCTTGGTTACAAACACTCACCTGGCCTCCTTATAACTACTATATGCCCATCAATGGCATTAAGAATGAAATAGGTCTCATCAGAGAACACAAGGGATTTCAATTTCACTTTCCAGTGAGCTCTAGCCACCTAAATCACAGATGGCAGTGATTTGGAGTTAATGGTATAGCCCCTAGAGGACGTCTGTCTTAGAACAATTCCTTGCTCGATTGTCTTCTGCAGACACAATGGAATAGTATATAACAGACATACGGTGAATATGGCAGTCTTCCCTTTGAGTGGTGGTATAAGTGTGGCCAGTGCTCGACCTTGTTGAGACAGTACCTTCCCTTGATCACTGCTGCCAACATGCATGCATAATGGATACATTCCTACTGAGTCTTTCTGCAATATGAAAAAAAGAAAATCCACTCTGTCATAGCCCTATTACATGGGCAAACTCAGTAAGCTGCTGATACAGCCTTGATCACCTCCTTAAGGGCATTATTGACCAAATCTCACATACAGAGGTGAATCCAGAAAATAAATAAAGCGCACAAAGTTTACATTACGTACTTAAAGAAAATATGATTTGTTTGTTCATAGCGGTGCTATTAGACATATTTTACACTTATTAGACTAGTGCAATATTTGAAAAGACATAACCTTTCAGATGTGCAAACATGTTTCCCTAATTTATTTTATCTAGCACAACTCTTTCTTGTTATAGGATCATTTTCTATCAGTGCTACTGTAGGATAACTAGCTTCATAGCTAACAGAAGAATATTAATAATTAAACAAAATACAAGCTACTAAAATTCAGTAATTGATTTTGTTCTTATTAGTTACAAATTTATCAAACATGGTTACAAAAATTATCCCAACATCATATTTGAAATTTAAGCAATTTTAGATATTTCTGTTACAAACATTCCATACAACACAATGCAAGTTAGTAGGTAGTGTTTAGAAATAAGAATACATGTAACTAGAATCTGATATATTAGACACTCTGAGATTGTAAATTTAATGTTTGTGACTTTTCAGTGGAGATACAAATAATCAGAAACTACCAAAAAATTCAATTTTTTAGAACCAAACTTCTTAGAATTTTGTTCTGTTGGTTGTACTGAAATTAAGAGATGCATCTTACAATCAGTGGCAATATAGAATTCAAGAAATATAACACGTATATTGCTCATTCAAGTCCTTTTTTGTTTTTTAAACTCTCTTATTACTTTTGACAAAATTCAAATTATGTCAAATGAAAAGTACTTATTTTATTAAATTAAAGTAATTTTAATGGAAAAAATATTATTTTTTTTCTGACTAGAGTATGTATGGAGAATCAAGCAAAATTAGCATACTCAGTTAATTTAAAAAAAAAATTTAATCATTTGTCTAGCAGCCAAGCAAATGCAATAATATTTTCTCTTCATCACAAAACAACAGAATTAAAAGGAATGTTTTTTAGAAATCAATAAAATTTGAAACAATTTTGGATACACAATAAGTAAAATATGAATCCTAAAAAAAGGTACATCAGATTAAGCATCAGCTTTAAGTTGTTATAAATCACATTATAATTTTTAAACTCAATCTTTAATTAAAAATTAACATTGTAAAACATTTTTGAAAATTATATTTTATGTAAAATTAATTCTGCACACTTTGCGCAAAAAGGAAAAGTTTATATTCTGTGAATAATTAAGCTTCCACTTGCCTTGTGCCCATTGGTGAAATGAGGAAAAGTGTAACATCACCACGGCGTGTTGCATTCAAGGTAATAATAGCCTGGACATGCTCCAGGTAATTTACTTCTGTTTCTTTTCCACTACATGCATCTGTGTCAATATATATTTGAGTACTGGCATTGGTTAAAATTCGGCTGCAAAAAAATATATTTCAAATAAAATTCCTATCTGCATATGCAGCAAAATAATAAATAGAAAAGTACAGTAAGATTAAGATCACAAAACTCCACAAATTTATTTTAAACTATTTTTTAATATTACAGTATACAAGAATCTCTGGGTAAATATAGACTTACTCATATAAAAAATGAATTTTTAAATGACTGTCATTGCAATCATGTTTCTGTACATGAATATAAAAATAAAATTCATACGCTCTTCCAATTTAAGAAAAATTAAATACTTTATTGAAAGCAATTTTCATTTGAATACTTATTAATCTAAAATAGATCCTTTTTTATTTCCTTGTTTGAAATGAAGGAAGTATTATAATTGCGAAACATTTTGGGTATTATGTTTGTTTCGTTGTGGTTGTGACTTTTCTCACTTATGTGGGATTTTGCTCAGTTCTGCTCCCACTTTTGAAGGAGAGCATGTAACCCAAGGGGACAAATCCGAGAGGCTGCTGTCTCTCTTCCGAGAGGCTTCCATCAGCCTCTTCAAAATGATTTTTTGGCTCCCTGAATATTTAGAATGCCCCACTGTGGCAAGACACTGCACAGTTACATACATCCACGCCTTTGCTGAAATTCACACCCAAGCCCTTTGGTACAGCATAGTTATCTGGACATTGTGGTGTAGTGGATGACTAAATGGAATTTTGGATAAAGCATCGCCAGCTTGAAAGTTAAACACCACTTACTTCTGGACAATGAATTTTTCAGCACATTTTTTTTTTCTTTTAAATTTGTAGAATAGGGTACTAAATGACCCCTACAATCTGAGATAAGTGTAATTAAATCTCAAATAGCAGAGAATCGCTAACATAGGCTAAGTGGCACATTGCTAGTAGGCAGGTAAAATGGCAAAAAGGATGCGTAGTTAATTGCGATACTTTCATAAGCTTGGAAAGCCTTTGCTTTAGTTCTGGATAGCAAGATTTCAGTAATGTGGATACTGCGAAGAAAATGCAAATGCCTTGAAGGGATTGTACTTTAATTAAGAATTAGTAATTTAAAGGTATATTATCAGTTTGTTCAAATAAGTTTTAAATTTTTAATAAATTTTTTTCAGACATGTATATACATTATTCACCCTCCTCAACCAGCTTAAAAGTCCTTACTCAGTCTTTATATTTACAATCGTTGGTCATGGTCATATACTTCCAATTACAGAATGTCTTAAATGATGCAAATCTTCACGTTTTCACAATGTCAAAACCAACCTTTTAATGCTGTCTTTTGTTCCTATACTTATATTTAGGGAAATTTTATACTCATTATGAAAGATAAAAATGCAAAAAGTTTATTTTCCATACAACAAAAATTGACTGGGATATTTGATTTCAAAATTTGCAACTTTTGATGTAATTTTCAACTTGCCTTGAGGGATCAATTCATGAAATTAGAATAAATTGAAAGTTTAAATGAAGCACAGCAAAAAAATGTGTATTATTTAATAGGCTGCGCAAGGAAATCGTGTGATGTAGACATCAGATTTTTTTGTTTTAATGCAGATCAAATGCAATATATTTTGTTTTTAACATCTATTCACAGTTTGTAATATTTGGTATAGAAATTTTTTAAAGCAAAATTTGATCTAAATTATTACTGTTATTACATTAAATAAATAAATAGTTGGCTAAATTCTGCCACTTTTTTGGCATTATGTAAGAATTAAAAAGATTCCATGCATTTCAAGTTACAGAAATAGTCCTCTATCTTCAACAGTTAGTAATGCTTCAATTGGCTTTACTTAAATATGAAAAATATTAGTACTGTAGATAAGTAGCACCTTTTATTAACTGAATTATGAAAAACAAAAAAGTAAACTAACACTTTTAAATAGTAGGGATAAGAATTCAAATCACTAATTTTATTCACAGAGTTAGTTAAGGATTAAGGGAAATCTAGTTCACTGGATGCAGAGGTTTTCTGGATAATTTCAGCAAAAAAATAATTTAGAAAATGGTAAAGAGGTCAATAATAATTACATATAGAATATTTGTTAATTCAGACTTTTTTGCTGCAATATTTGTATTTTCTGAAGACAAAATATGAATTTTTAAATTTTCTAAATTTAAATCAAACTATTCTGACAACAGATGCTATAAATCTACAGGAATGCAGAAGAGAATTCATGGATTAAATGACAGATTTTTATTAAGACCAGAAAATAACCTGGAAGCTGGACTTCTGCAGAAAAATATGAGCAATGTTATAATTAATGCAAGAGAAAAATAGGATAACAAAATGGCACATTAATTAAAATTTCCCATTTTAGAACACCAGTCTTAAGTCAATTAAAGACAAGTTAATAAATTTTCTATGATTAATTTCTTGAGCATTCTTTGAGTAAAATTTACTTACAGACAACAGAATCTATTTATTTTAGTCAATGATTTTAATTTTAACCCCCTTTAATCAAAATCATATATTTAGAGCATTATCAGATCACCAATCAATACCTTGTTGAATGCAATTCTCTGATGAAGCTTTGCTTTCAGTCATTTTACTCAGGTTTTGTAATAAGGTCCTGTGACACTTCTTTTCTTCTCTTTAATCGATTTACTAAAAAACAACATCACGTGGAACTTTTCCCTCATTGTTTTACAAAAGAGTGTTTAAAAACTAGTCATTAAAAATACGCATGTAGGAAAAGTGCCTTATTACATTTGATATCATAGGTTTTAGAGTCATATATGAACTATGAAAGAAAATTTGTATTCTCTTGCACCGGTTTCATTTAATAAAACATGTTATTACATATGCTGTAACATTTTGTTGCAGCATTTAACGAAATAACTGATGAGCTTCTTAGTAAAATATAGATTTTATTCTCAGTTCACAGGGGTAGATGATTTGAAAATACAGTTCTATCCATTACAGCATCACACTCCAGCTCACTATTACATTATGTTCTTGATAAATGTTTATACAACTACAAAAATGGTAAATTTTCAGAATAATATTTTTAAATATTTTCTGACATTTCTCAGGAATGGTTATATGATACAAAATATGGTTATGTGGGTTGTTCAAATGGAAAGGTATGAAATGACACTGTATAACTGAAGTCTTTATTCACGAATAATCACCAGAGGCCTCAGCATAACTATCCCACTGTTTCATGAGCTGGAGTTCATGAAGATTCCCTGTTCCCAGAATTCTTGTGGCTGTGATATGAGCCAGTCCTCCACTGCAACCTTCAGTTTGTCATCCGAGTTGAAGCGCTTCCCTTAGAGATGCTTTTTAAGCAGACCAAATGCATGGACTTTGCAAGGGGTGCTATATCTATGTTGTAGGATGGATGCTCAAGCTGCTCCCACTTGAACTTGGCCATTACACTTTGTGTGACCTTGGAGACATGTGGATGAGCATTATCATGCAGCAAAATCAACCCCTCTCTTCTGCGAGCAGTTCAGGCCGTCTGCTCTTGATGGATTTGCGCAGGCTATGAAATATCTCACACTACATGCCATTGTTAATGGTTTCTCTGTACTCAAGGAATTCAATAAGTATCAGAACTAACATGTCGAAAAAGACAGTCAGCATCATCTTGCCTGCTGAAGGCACAGATTTGAATTTCTTAAGAGAAGGTGATGATGCATGCTTCCATTGCATGCTGCCTTGCTTTGTCCTTGTCTCAAAGTGATGACACCAGCTCTCATCAGCAGTGACAATACACTCCAGAAAGTGAGGTCTTCATGATACCTTAACAGGTGTTGTAGTCTTAGCCCCGTACACAGCTCCTTTTGCAGTTCACCGAGCTTCTTTGGAAGCTACTGTGTGCACACTTTCCGGTAACTCAACTTGTCATGCACAATTGTCCACACTGTTCCAGTGCTGGCCCCACCATCACTGCCAACACTTGCTTATCAATGAGTTCAGCAGTAATTGCTGTATTTTCTTGGCCTAGTCTCAGATCGTCACTCAAAACACTCCCAGCTTTGATGAAATAGGCACTCCATTTACTCACTGACTTGTTGGATACACAGTCTTCCCTGTATATGGCCACAACTGGCAATGTATATTGGCTGGTTTAACCCCTTCCACAGTTAAAAATCTGATAATACCTTGCTGCTCCTCAGTCTTCTAATTTTGCAATGTGAACCCCAAGAGGTCCTCTCACACACTGCTGAATCAACTCGACAGAACACATAACGGCCTGCTTCTCACCCGTGCATGCACATAACCATGCCGAACACTACATTTGCATCCCTTGATGTCTCACTGCATTATCTGACAGCAGTATATCCAAATTTCAACTGGTTTGGTTGTTATGACATTTCATAGTTCATTTGAACATCCATCATAGTTTTTGGATTTTTAAATGCAGATAAATTTTTAACTGCCATTAATGTTAAAAGCACACTTTTGTCAAATATTTGTTTTCCAATTAAATATGCTATTATTTTTACTTTTAATACAGATTACAATAACTTTTAAAACACCACAATTTTGAATTTTTTAAAAAAATACTACATAAATTCTTGCAAAAAAGGGAAAGAAAAAGAACATACTGAGGTGTTTTGACAACTCCTGCTTCGCAGTGGTATCTAGCAGGTACAGTTTTCCATATTTTGGCTAAAGCAACCATTGCTCCTGCATCCAATACTCCAAATCCAAATAGATGATTGAATTCCAAACCAACACCATTCATGTTCCAATGGAACCTTCCTTTGCTATCATAAAGGGAATTCCTCTTGGATGTTAGCACAGTAAGATGTTGTACATCTCTCCAGGTCAAATTTGGACTGAAAATAAATAGCATACAAGTTACAAAATACAGAAAATACTTCAGGTATGAGTTTAAAAGATTGCTTTTATGAGATGCTTCCAAGAAATCTGGTATATCAAAAGATGAAGGCAGATATTTTAGCTAGGATGATTTTAAACAAATAATAATTATACGCTTCTTATTCTAGAATATTGAAACAACAACCAATTTTTATATTTCTTAAGAGTTGATTCTTGTTTAAAAAGTTTCCATGTTTTTAAATATCATATTATAATATACTTTTTGTCAAGTTTAGGACAACTATAATAGGAAGAAATTCTCTATTTAGGTATTCATAATTACAAAATACCTTTAAAAAGAATATAACTGAATTCATTAAAGGGAAATACTACTTCACATTTCAAACCTGTAATTTGAGAAACCAAATCAGATACCATTGGTCTAATTCAATTTCTTTTTAAATAGTGGAATAGGTTTTTAAATTTTTTAAATAATGGTAGATCTGTCTCTAGATGTAACAATAATATCTATTTGTGTTTATTTATTACAAGCAGTTGCCACTGTTTCTCTTTACCAGTTTTCTAACTTTTGAAACTTTATCTTGTCCAATGACATAAATGTGTTATTCAGCAAGATATTACAAAAATATATATAACTATACATTCTTACGTACACATAACTTAATCTATATAGAATACTTATAACCCAGAAAATTTGAGTAATTTGAAAGTGACATAATTTTATTTACATATACATATACTACATTAATTTAAACTGTGAATACAGAAAAGACTAACATAGTATTATAATTATTAATATTGTATTAATTATGCATTACTTTTTTAAAGCCAGTAAAATATATTTTATTATGTGATAAAATATAAATTACTTTTAAAATTATCAAAATTCCATTTAAGTTAGTCTGACATTGCTTCCTTTTCTTCAAGAAGAGAAAATGATATACTACATCTAAAATAATTCTGTTACATTTTAATTTTGCAGAATTATCCTTGAAGAAGAAGGATCTATATGTATCCTATAGAAAACTCTTTATAAAGGGAACTCATAAACAGCTTTCTATAGGGCCCCCCTTCTTCAAGGATAATTCAGCAAAATTAAAGTTTTGAGCAGAATTCCCCCCCCCCTTCTTGAAGAAGAAGAAGTAGTATCAGATTATCTTGAAATTAACAGCTTTTCTAAAAGACTAATGCCAAACTGTAGTTGAATTTTGACTATTTTAAAAAATCAAAATAGCATGCTTCACTTTTATCTATTACAATACAAACTGTTTCTGAATTCTGAAGTGGTAAATTTCTTAAACCTCTGACGTAATTAATTATGCACAGATTATAAGATTTGTTATTAACACTGCTAATAATGTTTTGAAACTGGGAGAGGAATAAAATTTATCTATGTTATTTTAAGCATTCAGTTTTGCAATACAAAAACACAAAATCCTTATGTTTTACAATATTCTAAATTCTTAATGCCTGAATTACCATTACAGCAATAGCAATAAACTTATCTGACACTACACATAGGTAATGTAATTAATAATTAAAGCAAAATTTTTTTAAAAAATATTTCTTTACTTACTTTGCATCAAGAGCTAAAGCAAATACTCCAGCTGCTTCAGGTGCTGCAGCCGATGTTCCAGAATGTGTTTTCGTACATTTGCCATATAAATCTGTTGTAGCCTGCAAAATGCATCATTTTAATTACTTCCATCAGAATGTAAAAATAGGGGGAAAAAAACTAACAAATATACTTTTAGCAAAAGCATTAAATATTTCCACAAGGATTAACTTCATACAGGGGTAATACTGTGTACTTTTTTTTAATGATGTTAAAGCAGCAATTATATTGCAAATATTACTTTTTATGTGCTTAATCTAGTAGCCCTTCCTGTTATTTGCCAATCTGCTACTTGATTTTCATGATAAAAAAGCTTTTTTTTTAATAATCCCTTATTAATTAATTCCTTCCTAATTAATTTCCCTTATTTTTCCATTCCTCTTGTGTCCTTTTCTCTAGTGCATTGCTTGCTTTTGGATGAAGCTTAGAAAATGCCCTTTTAACAACACTAGTCCCTCTACTCTCTGAAAACAACATTAGTTTCTCTATCCTCCAAAAGCAGCACTGGTCCCATAAGGAGACTTGCATATGAAAATTGTACAAACAGTGGAGTATATGAAAATGGTACAGTAAACCTTTGCTGGACACAGACTTGTGTCTTTGAGTATATGCATTTTCTGAATTATCTCCATTTAATTTGTCCAGCATGAGAAATTCAGTTTGACATGGTATGTTGCAGAGCATCAGTTGTGTTGTGATAGCCCTCTTTAATAACTGATTTGGAAATTCATTCATTGAAACACTCAAATATTACTTAGAAAAGCAAAATTTGAGCTTTTAAGTTCTCCTAATTCTCGATAATGCTTCAGGATACAGTTATGAAGTCCTCACAACATTGAATCCAAATGTCAAGGTTCTAGTCCTTCCACTGAACACCACTTCCTTAAGCTAACCAACGGATCAAGGAATTATAAAACATTCAAAGCCTATTATGTCATGCATGTTCATATCTCGGCAAATAAACACAATACAAAGGAAAGCATGACATTTTAGAAGCAATGCAGCATAGGACGCAGCATAGAAATGATTAAATTCACATGAAAACAAGTGAATTCATCAAAAATGAATGCTTGCTGCTAACAGCGCTGGCCAGAAGTTATCAAAAGCTTTAAAAGATTTCTATTGATTGAAAATGAAGCCAAAGAAATAATATAAACTACAAAATCAATAGGCAGTAAAGGATTTTCAGATGTGGATGAAGGAGAAATTAAAGAATTAATCAAGAATAATGATTGTGAAATGACAAATGAAGAATTGGGTGATCTTATACAACAGCCAATGGTGAAAGCAATGACAGTGAAGATGATAAACAGTATTTAATGTATAAGTACAGTCAAAAGTCGTTAATTCAGACATCAAAGCTACAAACTTTCTGCGCATGCGCCGCGTTGACGCATGCGCATAGGCGTTTACGCGTGCGCGTAAGACCTTTACAGCTGCGAATATGCATGTGCGCATGCGCATTTAATGTATAATGGACAGTATAAGCTAAGCTAAAATTATCTAATTCAGTCAATGTTGCAGATTGCGTTGTTCCTTAATCTTCGAATTGGATCCGGCTTATTATTTATTGCAGACTGTTAGAGCAATTTTTATAAAAGTAAGCTTGAACTTTCGATTATGTCAAATAGAATTTCTGATATATATTTACTACGTAGCGTACTCGGAAACTAAGTACCGTTTCATTCTAGCGCTGTCGCAGCGCCGTGGTAGGCGTCCCGCGCTTGCGCACTAGTCTTTCTCGTTCACCGACTTTCAATTGTTGCCATTTTGGTTGCTCTATGTTGTGTTTTCAGTTTGCTGTGCACATTCAATATGTTTAAGACAATTAGTTCTCCCACTGACTGTGAGATTCGTGCCATGATTAAATTTTTGAACGTGAGGAATGTTAAACCGGCCGAAATATATCGTCAAGTGACAGGAGTTTACGGTGAATACGCGATAAGTGATAGAATGGTGAGAAAGTGGGTAAGAATGTTTAATGCAGGTCGAACAAATGTTCATGCCAAGGCTCGGAGTGGTCGGCTTCTGTTGTCCCGATGATTTGGTAGAAAAATGATGGAAGCAATTCATGAGAACAGACGCTTCACATGACAACTCTTTCGAGGCATTTCCCACAATTTCACGTACTGTTTTGTTCGAAATTGGTCTGACCGCTGGAGTGCTTTGGATCTGACGATGACACGAAAATGCTGTGGAGTCGTGGTATCAAAAATGGCGGGAAGTTTTCTTGACGATGGTATCAAAAAACTGGTCACCCGCTATGACAAGTGTTGATCATTGGCGGAAACTATGTTGAAAAATAGTTAAGACATGCATTTTCATGTAAAAATAAAATTGTATTCGAAAAAATTGTTTTACTATTTTTTTTTTTTTTTTTCAAAACGGTACTTAGTTTCCGAATACGCATCGTAATATGTAAAGGATCTACAAAGCGAAAGGATGCTTCGAAGTCCATTAAACAAAAAGTGGAATTGCTGCAAAAAATAGATAAAGGCATATCCTTTGTTTCTTAACCATTCCGAAATCTGTTTCTCAATTTCACGCTGCTCTGCGGCGGGGAGGGGGGGATGCCATGGCGCGCAATGAATTGGAAGTTGATCTGTCAGCACTATCCTTATCTTCAGGGCAGATGTTTTTATTTTATTTGGCTTATAATTCCTTACTAAATGTAGTATTTCATCTCGATGTACTCCGTCTTTGATATGATTTAAATCAAATTCCTCATCATTATAATTGGCTTCTGATAGTGAAGAAAGTGACACAGAGGTTATTGAAAACGAAAAAATTTCGATTGACAAATTAGTTGGCATTCTTGACACAGCAATTATAGGACTTGAACAGCGGAACTTTGTAAACTAAACAAGAATTATGTTGTTTAATAGAATTAAAGAGAAAGTATTATCACATGAAAAACGAAGCAACTTAAACAACTTACATTGAAAGAAATGTTTAATAAAGTAAACAAATAAATATTAAGCTTTTTCTTTTTGTAAATTTTGATACCCTTTAGATCATAATTGTTCTTTATTTCATAAATTATGGTTTCATACTTTTAATTTTGTAATTTCTGCATGCCATCTTACCAGATTTAAACTGATGATCTATAATCCGGAAAAATCGATAATCCGGAATCGCCGAAGTCCCGACGAGTCCGGATTAACGACTTTTGACTGGTGATGGTGTAATGGTTATGTTAATTTTACCTTCAATGGGAATCTTATCACCTGTCACTGTTTGTAAAGTCACACGGGGCGGAGTCCAGCGCAACATTTGGCTCAATTCTTGAGCTACATCTGTTCTTACGATGGTTACATTTGCTCCCGTATCTATGATAATCTTACAAGGATGCTTATTCACGTATCCTTCGACGAACAGTCCGTTATCTCCGCCGCTCATTGACGAGATTTGAAGAACTTTCAAAGGGGCTGCATCTTTGCCTGGCAACCTCTGCCCCGTGAGATTGCTGCATTTTAGTTTCCATGGTTTTGTTTTGCGGGAGCTCTCTTCCAGTCTTGATTCCCGTGACAGTTCCTGCTGAGATGTCCTTCCAATCCGCAGTTTCAGCACTTGACGATTTTCTTCCCAGTATTGTTTTTATTAGGTCTTCTTAACGCCTCCCAAATCTCTCTTATTTCTTTTTTTAGTTTCGAGATATCAAAATATGGATCTTCTATTTGAGCCGCTCTAATAGGATGACGATCTCTTTGAGTCACTTGTTGAGCTGACTTGAACTTCATAGCTTAGGCCAAGGCAGATTTTAGGTCTTTCAGATCTGTCAATATGGGAGCTTTCTGAATTTCCGCATCCTTAACGGCATCGACGAAATGTATAAAGGTCAGATTTTCTCGGACATCAGGTGACCGGTCCGGATATGCTTGATGCGTCAACCTCTCGATGTCAGATGCAAGTTCTTGAAGGCTTTCCGGGATTTTCTGCTGGCGGGATTTTAACTCCAGACGGCTACAGTCCTTTGCGCACTTTTCCCCGAATCTCATTTTCAGCGCATTCGAGAGGGCATTGAAGTTTGAAATCTGGTCTTCGAAGAGGACCCCTAAGATGTCTGCAGCATCTCCTCGGAGTGACGCAGCCAACTGCGAAGCCTTCATGTGGGAGTCCCATTTGTTATTTTCCGCCCACGATGGAAAACTGGGTCTTATATACACTCCATGATGATCGTATGTGCTTGGTTTGATAACCATATAATAATACACTGGGTGAACCTTGAAATCTTCAGCTTCGTTCTTAGATTCAGTCCAGTTTTCTTTCAAAACACCTACTTCTTTCCGGAATTTTCTCAATTTTTCTTCAAATCGTTCTTCCATAGCTGCTGTTTTTGCTCCAGTATCCTCTCTAAGCTCCACAATTTGGCTTTTAATATTTTCTTGTACCACTTCCATCTCTTCAAACTTCTCTTGTATATTCTGACACCAGTTGTTGCATTTTTTTTCTTCCTTCAGGTTCGTAGATTTGGAGTGAATAATGACGACCCTTGATGAAGTATCGAAACACACTTTATTTACCAATGTTAATCAGACAGCTCCAAAATCACTTTTACAGTTGTCGATGAATTACTATAAACACGCTGACATGATCAGCGACACAGCCTCCAGGTTATCAGGCTATCACGATGGAGACAGCTTCACGGCAAAGCACTAGAGTACAGCTCCCGACTCTTGCTTGGTCATTCTCGGAACTCTCGAGACTCTCCATGCTAAAACTCGCTATGCACTTGACGACACTCAGAGCACAACTCCCGACTCTTTGGTTCAGTCATTCCCGGAGCTCAACACACTCTCTCGACGATGCACTAATTGCGATACACTACGAGACTCTTTCGGTGCACTTGACGACTCACTCGGCACTCGCTGCCCGGCTGTAAACTCGATTGCCTCGCTAGACAAGACACCAACTCGATACTACCTAACTCTCCGCGTGTCAGCAGGGTTTATATAGCTTTTAAATGTTGTCAGAAGTCGGATTTGCGAGTGAATGCCAGTGACCGGCCTGCAGAGGAAATCTATGGCGGAGGAAACGAAGACTTTGATGGACTTTTTAGCCGAGATCAAAGTCGGACAGGAAGAGATAAAAGCCAAACTGAAAGAGTTAAAAGCCGGATATGATGAGAAAATAGCTGGATATAAAGAGATGACAGCTGATATGAAAGCTGGACGAGAAGAGATGAAAGCTGGCAGAGAAAAGCTGCGAGAGGAACTCCCACAGATGAAAGTGGAGCTTGCAGAAGAAACTGGAGCCATAAAAAATGTGGAAATGAGAGAAGTGGCATCTAGAAAATCCAAGGATGAAGAAATGAAGGAAGTAGCCAACGAAGTGCCTGAGAAAGATCCAGAAATGATCAATGAAATATCTAATGGGATTAAAGAAAAAGAACGAAAACATGAAGAAATAAAAGACAGGAAGGAAGATTTTGATTCTCACATGCTTGAAGTAGAGGTAGAAGAAAGTGAAAATGTGACTGTGAAGTTCTTAGAAACTGATAGTGAAGTTATGAAAATGCAGTCAGCAAGTGTTGAATCATCTGAAAGTGCATGTGATGCAGAGCTGGGAGAAGCTGATGTGCAGCTTAAGCAGTGTACTCTAGTATTGCAGGAAAATTCATCCACTTCACAAACTGGGTGTGTGCCTCATAGTGCAGGTTGTGCAGATAAGGACTTGATTCTAAACCTAGATACATCTGCTTGTAAAGGATCAGATTCTATTCGCGACCATGGTGCAAACATCAGAACTGGCTTTCAGGAAATAGAGGTACATTAGCATGCACGATCTGCTAAAAATACTGATGTGAACTGTATGCATGCTGCGAATGAACTACAGAGTGGTGAACGAACTGTTTTAGATCTTACTGTGGATGAAAAGTCTGAAGGAACTGAATCTTCAGACTGTGATATGCAAAACAGATATACATCTGAGAACTGCAGTGGAAAAGCATTTGACCCGGGTATAAATTAATGAAAAGACTGAGACTGAAATTCATTCAGAACTTTAATTTGTAAAATTTAAAATTGTTATGTGTTTAATTTGTGTGTATAACTTGTACATAGTGTAAATATTTGTTTTAGTTATGTTATCTGTATGTTTTAAAATGTTTTGTTTGTATCGAATTTGGCTTCTGACCAAGGGCTGTACTGCCCGGGACGTGCAGTCCTTGGGAAGGGGCAGTGTTACGAAATGCACAGGCGCGGTGAGACAGCTCCCCCACAAAGCAGTTTTAGGGTTGGCATAAAAATTTCAAAGACAGGGTTGCCACATTTGGCGAGAAATCGCCCATTTGGCGAAAAAAATGGCGATATGCCATAGAAGGTTGCAGAATTTTCTGGAACGAATTCTTACCGGTTTAGCCCAGAATGTTCTCGAACACAAGCCGAAAGCTATATAAAACCTGCTGGTCCGCAGTCAGTTAGTGTGTGCTTCATTGAGAGGGCGAGTGAGTGCCTCCTCTAAAGTGCTAGTTAGTATCGAGTTGGTGACTCTTCTAGCAAGTCAATCCCTGAGAGTCAATCGAGTTGACACCCGGGCAGCGAGTGCCGAGTGGGTCGTTGAGTCCACTGAAGGAGTCTGTTAGTTTATCACTGTTTGTGCATCGTCGAGATAGCGTGTTGAGCTCCGGAACGACTGAACCGAAGAGTCGGAAGCCATGCTCTGAGTGTTGTTGAGTGCATTGCGAGTTTTAGAGTGGAGAGTCTCAAAAGTACGTGGAGTTCCGAGAACGACCAAGCAAAGTCAGGAGCTGTACTCTAGTGCTTTGCCGTGAAGCTGTCTCCAATGTGATAGCCTGATAAACTGGAGGCTGTGTCTTTGATCGTGTCAGCATGTTTATAGTAGTTCATCGAAGACTGTAAAATTGTTTTGGAGCTGTCCTGATTAATATTGGTAAATAAAGTGTGTTTCGATACTTCATCAAGTGTCGTCGATATTCACTCGAAATCCACACGAACCCCGTACGAACATGAAGGAAGAAAATAACATAACAACTGGTGTCAGAAAAAAAAAAAAAAAAGTAACAATGTTGACTGTAGTAAGTGGTAATTTCAGATTTTTTACATTTCATTAATTCCAATTATTTACTTGATCAAAATAATTTTAAAAAGGGGTGAATAACCTTACAGGTTTACTAAGTCAGACATTTACAGGTTTACTAAGTCAGAATATTCATGGAAAATTTCACTTTATAACAAAATTTCAGACTTTCATAAAATAAAATATACATTGTTTTCCACGCTGGATTTGCTTTTATCAATTACAGTAGTTGTAAACATTGAAACAAGAACTTGAAATCATGACATTCTACTAAAACTAATATATTATTTTTAAACTCAGAAAATTCTCTAAACATGTACTTTTATATAACTTTTAATTTTTAAACTCTTTTATTGTAATAGCAAAAAAGATTCAAAATTCACAAAAAGCTTTCCCCAAGTCCCCATAAGATCATCAAGCTAATCAGAATGCCATTCAATTTGGCATGGTCTACAGAAGGCTTTAATTCCAGACCACGTTTTCTTTTGCAGAGGGATTGATCTTTCAGAGTGCAATGAAACATCATTGAAAATATTTATCCTCCCTTTTTTCTCTTATTACAGCTTAGTATACTGATTGTCATTTCATTCTTGATAATACAAGTTTATTCATAAATCCGTGAAATATTCCAATATATCATACCAAGTAAACTAACAATTGATACTAAATTTTGTTACACTAAAATAGATATAAACTCATTTTAAACCTTCATATTTTAAAAATACTTGATTATAAAATTTGCCATTAAAGTGGATAGGACATACAGGAAGAGAAGAAGATATATCTGATATTTCCTTTTGGAAGATTGTCAAGGATTTGTGTGTCTTTTTGTGGTCATTCTTAACGGTGTCACTCACACAAGGTGTCATTCTTGTGGAGGGTTTTTATATCTCTAATTCTTGCTAATCTCTAGATGCTTTGCAACTTCAACATGTATACTCTGCCTCTGGTCATTTCTGATACACGAGCACAGATAGATCAGGAAAAGTGGATACATTGACTATTTGTTAATTATTTAAAAATAACTTGGTGGTTTTTTTTTTTTTTTTTTTTTTACACTAGTTTGCTATATTTCAGTTTGGCATCCCTTTCAGAATGTAATCATAATGAATTTTCGAAATATGTCATGAAATAATGAATAACCTCTCTCTCTGCGAGTGTGTACATGTACGTTAATTTTGTTTATAAGTGACAGATATTGAATAAATGCTATTTATAAAATTCAATCAATGTTATCAATCAATTTTGCTTATTATTTAGCAAATTGCTCAGATACTAAAATAACTGCTAAGAAATTTGCTAAAATGTTCCCAAGCAGTAAGGTATTTTTGTTTAACAATTAAACCAAGCAAGTTTTTTTTTTTCAATATTAACTTGAGTAATCATTAAAAAAATAAAAAATACAGATCTCTGCTTCTTATTTACCAATGGACTATGCTAAACAATAATTCATAAGTGAGAAACTTTTAGTTTCTATAATTAATTGGTTTGGCTCACATTTTTAATAACTTTAAGGAGAGCAAAAAGGAGAAGCCTTTAAAAAACTTTTAAGGAGAGCAAAGGCATGAGTTATATAATTTTTGTGAAATTATTAAGATATTATTATTTAGGTTAATTTTTATGCTTTTTTATATTACGTAATACTGTTGTGTATCCAAAGAATGAATTTTGTTAGTTTACAAAGTTATAAATTTTGCAGCAAAACATAGTAAACCTTACCACTCCAGTGTGTGGATCTTTAGCTCCATTGCTAAATGTTGAAGCTAATGTTGAAGAACAGGATTCATCATAATGAGCATTTTCGCCATTATTTATGGCAGAATTTATGGAAATTGTCCACATGCTAGCAGCATAACCATCACAGTTGCAGTCATCATCTTCACCACCATCACCAGATGCCCAGACATATATATTTCCAAGACCATGTCTGCCCTGAAAAATGCAAGCAAGTAAACTATTTTATAACTTTATGAAAATACTTTAGTATTTATTACATACAGAGGAAGCTTCATTTTACATAAACATATTAAATATATTTAAAAAATAATGTTCAGTGTCTGTTCTTTCTATTTACTTTTTAAAACTCTTTCTTGTCAGTAACCATCTGAATCATCTTGAAAAAGCTGAACCATCTGAATCATCTTAAAGTTTACAAGTAAATTATCTTAAAATTTCATGATGCTAGTAAACTAAACTAAGTGGCATAACAGCCCTATTGGGCCATGGCCTACAGTGCCCCTTTTCTGTTTTCATGACCTTTGGGCCCCGGAGTGCCTAAGCATATGCCCTGGGCAAGTGGTCAGCTTGTTTAGTCCCCAAGCAAACTTTGTACTCATTTTATCAACCCACTTAAGAGATGAAAGGCTCAGTCGACCTTGCCCAGCTTGGAGATTGAACCCCGGACCTGTGGTACAGCTGCATGACATGCTAGTCACTTTGCTACCAGGCGGTGATGATGCTAGTAGCAACTGTTATGCTATAAAAATAATGATAAAGGAAAAAACAAAATAAGGAAAATGATATTTAACCATTTTATACTAGCTTTGAAATCAAAAACTGAAAAGCTTTTAGCCAAATTTTTTGTCTGTGTACATTTAAACATCATCCCTGTATGGAATTCAAAGCAAAATTCTCAATTCCTCAAAAACATTTTAAAATTTTCACAAGAAAAGTTTAATGTGCTTTAAGACTAAATACTGGATTAATATTATAAACAATAGAAATAATTATATAAAAGTTATCAAAACAATAAATGCTGCTGAGATACATTTTTTCACATAAAATTACATATATTTTAATAACTTGAGAACTAGCATATATACAAAAAAATTAATTACTTCATTAACTCCTCGCACAATAGCACGCATTGTTGCATTACGAGGCCCATCTACTGTTTTTCCATCATCTGTAGGTCCCCAGCTAGCACTGTATATATCAATTAAATTTGGTTCATGTCCCATAGAATTTGCTTCAATGAGATCTGTCATATATGGCTGATCTAACATTCTTATTCCTGCAAGTGATGCCCATAAAATAATAAGCATAATTTTATTCACATTTATATGCTTAAAATGTAATTTACATATTACAAATGTTCAAAAATCATGAACTACCTAATGGATATATGAATTCTGTGCATTTAAAATATTATAAATTGCATTAAGAAGTAGATGTAACAATTATATATATATATATATAATATTGTATGATCTTAAATTCACGTAGTGCGAAATCGAGTTATTCTACTACTTGTGCATAAATGCTGCAAAGTAAGTTAATAACAATTTATTTACTAAAGAAATATTGATTATATTATCTCCTAAGATTAATTTTAGTAGAATTATCTTAAAAGAGTGAATCCATAGTTATTAAGTTTAATTTTGAAAATTATTTTAAAGTAACTTGAATGTAAATTGTTAAATATGTTTAACAGGGACTTGAATTAAATCATGAATAACAAAATTTCAATTGTAAGCATAAACATGAGGGTGTCAGGGGACAATTACTCGAGTAATATCAATTTTACTGCAGAAATTGCTTTTCACTCAAAATTGAATTAGCTAAAATGCTTAATCGGAATGAGTTCTTTGGTGCTCTGCATTTGTTCTTGATCCCTTCTATTCATGGAAATATTTGGCCTAGCTTGAATTGCCGGTTTGGCATCGCCTTATTACTTGAGTAAAGGATGAAACACCTGCGTATTTATTTCTTAATTATTGTTCATTGAACGGGAGTTGGTTTGTTCCCCTTGAAAAGTCAACTAATTTCCGATCAAGTTTTTTATTGCCATTACCAAATTTGCTAAATCCATATATATTCCTATTATGGAAAATAAATAATTACAAACTGTTTGATGACTGAAAACTTATCTTTCCTTTTGCAATTCAATATCTTTGCCAAAATAACTCTCCTCTAACACTGCTACTCATTCAAGTAAAGTGTTCTGCCAATTTTGCATTAAGTACATCTTTTCCCTGAAGTTTAATTAAGAGTTTCCCACTAAGTGGTGTTATAGAAAAGCTTTAAAGCAATTTCAAGTGCATTTTGTCGCAGATCTCCTGACAGAAGTGTATGTTGGAGATTTATTTTCTTTAGACCAAGAGAAAAATTCAAATAAAAAAGTTTTCTTTGAGAAAACTGTATGACAGTTTGAAATCAAAACTTAATGATTTAGAAATTCTCAGCACTATGAGAAATAAATATGTTTGTTGTATCCAGTGGTGGAGTCATTAACACCTAATGAAATTAATTCAGAAGTCAAACAACAGAAATCAGCGTTATATTTTCAAAATGTTCAGAGGACTAGTTTTGATGGTTTTACCGAACCACCATCCTCAGCTGCAAAACTGCAAAATGAACAAGATAGGAAATAATGATTAGATAAGATAAGAAAGCCTGGACAAGAATAAGCAAGTGGCACCATCTGTTGGTGAAACCAGAACTAAAACATAATTTCTTTAAAGGCCGAAGGCAAAGATAGATTGGAATTAGGATCATTAACTAGAACAGAAAGATTTTTTAAATGTGAAATGCCTCTAGAAAATCCAGTTCTCCAATGGAAGATGCTCTTTGAATAATTTTGGCAGCAGAAAAATTGAAAGTGTGATTTTCGGACCAACAATGTTGAGCAACAGAAGACTTTGTGTTTCCTTTTTTCTAACATATGCCTCATGTTCCTTGACACAAAATTTCAAGGCTCTCTTAGTTTGGCCAATGTAAATTAAACCACACTGGCAAGGAATCTTATAAATACCCCAGAAATTCATATCCGGAATGGGGTCCTTGAGTATGGAACTCAGAATTTTATTGATGGGAGAATAAACGACCCGAAAGTTAATTAAGTGATATCAATAATATTAATGTCAATCATTAACATTAATATTAATGTCAATTCCTATGATTTTTTTAAATAATTGTCTTTCAAGCTATAGAGAAATTGTTAGAATGATGGCTTAGATTTATAAATTTGTGAATAACTGCAAAAACAAGATACAAAAGAAAGATGAACTTACTGCCATTGACTAAATGATGCAGAAAAAGTAATAATCCATTTTATTGAAACAAGTACTATCAAGGGAATAAAAGAAACCTGAAAAAGGAAATCTCTGGAACCTTTGTAGAAGATGCTATAATACAGTCTAAAATTGCAATATTTTCAAGAGATGACACATCCGAATTTAGAATTCAAGTAATTTTACCAAGGAACCACGCAGAGTATCATTAGTTTCGATAATCGAAGAAAATAAGAAAAAAAAAAAAAAAAAGAGACATGTTGGCGTTTCTGTCTTGAAGTCTCTAAAAGAAAAATATGGGATTTTATCTGGGCAAAGAACTATTTCATCTGTTTTATGGACTTGCATTGTTTGTAATGGCTATTCTGCCAAAATGTGAATCCTACAGCATTATCATTGCCAGTATATTGAGGAAAAGATGCTGCTACTTCCCAAATTACTGGAATTACCAAATTACTGCAGGTCCTTTACTCTTAGAGACAAAATAAAAGTATGGATTTATCTTTTTATGTGTGCAAAGTATCATTGTGCTCACTTAGAACTTGCAACTTCACTATCAACTGCATTTTTACAGGCTTTCCATCATTTTGTCTTATGACATGGAAGGCTCTCAGTAGTTTATAGAGAAAACGGAACTAATTTTGGCAATGCAAATAATGCTTTTGTCTTAACTGATTTCAAATATGGGTCTGAACAGATGGATGATGAGCACATTATTTGTAAGTTAATAGCCCCTGGCTTTCCATGGTAGGAAGGCTGATAAGGTTTGATTGGCAATATGAAGAGAATGTTAAGAAAAATCCTTGGAAAAATCATTCTGAGCTATGAGGAAATGTACACCATTATGTGCACCTGTGAAGCTATACTTAATGACAGACTTCTAATGGTCATTATTAGCAGTTTTAAATCTTACAGCCATAACATATTCAAGTTTCTAAAAAGAAACTCAAAATGATTCAATTTTTTATTTAAGGCATGATATTGATACAAAGCTTTTAAAATACATATTGCATTACATCTAGAATATGTGCGATGCTTTATGAAAAAGATTTTGCCAAGAATAATCTCGAAGCTTTAAAAATATCAAAAAGGAGGATGTCTAGAGCTTGTGTTCTTAGTTTTAATAGGCAATGGTTACAGAAACAGATTATTTTGGCTTCTTGGCAGAATATTGGAACTGTTTCCTGGTACAGATGGTATAAGTTGACGTGCCAGAGTTCAAATTTAGAGCATGAAATTATTTTGAGGGGTTAAGAATTTCTATGGATTGTAGATTTCATCGACAGAAGAGGTTTCTCCAATAGTCAATCCAGCTCAAATTTGAATGACAACTTAAAAGATTGTCTAAAATTATAAAAATTGAAAAGAAAGATTTTTCTGTCTAGAAAAATAGAGAATTCCCAAAAGTTATTACATCCGAAATGACAGTTCAAATTCTAGATCGCCTGAACTTATAAACTTTATTTTCTTATTAATATGCCTAGTTATTTTATTTTAAATTTTTGCATAGTGATAGTATTTCACATTGCTTGTTTTTTTTAGTGCTTTGCATTTTGTCACTTTACTGTTATTCTTCACCATTTATATGCACAGTTTAAGTGATGAGTGTTTAAGTTGTTGAGTACATTTTGGAATATGAATTCAAAAGACTGAGAATAAACATGTCATTTCTGAATATGTATTAAGAGTTTTTGAACAGTGTTTTATTATTTTTAATTTCTTATCAGATTTTATTTTGATTTGTCAGTTCATTCGTCGAAAGAAGAGAGCTTTTTGGAATATATTTTTTTGGAATTGTGCACTACATATTTATTAAAATAATGTTAAAATTTGGTTACTATTCGGTTTTGAGGGCCGTAAAAAATCGCCAAACTATTGTTGATGCCAGTGCTGCCAAAAATAATTGTGGCAACCCTAACGCAAGAAAGGAAGTATAATACTAGTAAATAACTATCTAAGATTGACGTTTCAATTTAGATGAAAAGCTAATTTCATATAATACTTTTTTATTATTATATTTATATAAAAAAGGCTAAACATGACTGAATGGAAGTATAAGAGTAAATAACTACATATTTCAGATCATTATTATAATTTATATAAAATTTGCTAAACATAACTGAATGGATGCGTGCATCGCTATTTCGCTACCGAGTTATCGCTAAAGCATAGTTGCATCTCGTTGGTTGTTCAAACATAATTTTCTATAATGAATGATGCCTTTTCTTTGAAAAAAATCTCTGCAGAATCGCTCACTTATTTGTTTGCCGCTTTTTACAAGGGTAAAAACAATTGGATTTTTGTCAGTTTTCTTTTTAAGTGAAAATAGGTCGATGTGTACACAGTGCGCAGTGCCATTTTTGTGCAATTCTGGGATTTTTGTTTTTTAAATGAAAATAGATCGATGTGTACATGGATTCCGAGTATGTGCAATTCTTAAAAATGCGTCAAGCAGTGGGTGATTCTGCACTTAATCCAAAATTATATCGCGTACTTTTCGTCATGGGCAATTCCCAAATTGTTAAATCCATAGGATATCAAAAAAGGATTTAAAATCAAAAAAAGGATTTAAAAATTAAACTAGTATTTCAATGGCGTCTTAAGAAATATAGAACTATACAAACTTACGCAATCTGAAATCAGCGCGTACGCTAGATTTGGCGCGGTGTTAAATGGGTACGTTTGCTAGATTTGGCGCTTTTGCGAATAAATTTTCGCTGCAATTTTTTACGGTCCTCAAAACGGAATAGTACCAAAATTTGTTTTAAATTTGATTTGACTCTTCTTCTGTATATGCTTTCTAAATACTAAACTTTAAAAAAAAAAAAAAAAAAAAAAAAAAAAAAAAAAAAAAAAATACTTTGCAAAACCCTTATTATTTAACTCTCATGCAGGTATGGTAAAAGGTATTATGTAAAAAGCTTAAAATATTTAAAAAATAAAGGAAGAATGTCAGCCATGAAAGTCTCTATTCTGTTAAAAAAAATTCTGAACAAAATGAAGGCTTTCAGTGGCGAACTATTTATAAGTAATAAATCATTCTATATACATCAATAGCAAGCATGATTGCACAAGGAAAACTAAACATACTACCAGAATTATAGCCCAGAATATATACCAGAATCAGAATTATATATCAGAATTAAATGCTTCTAGAGCATAGAAGTCAATAGTGAAATGTCAAACATTTTAAGAAATCAAAATGATAGCTGCAACTAAGGAAATAATTTTGTTTATATCAAAATTATATGAAAATGAATGGCTATTACATTATATACTAATGCATTATTATACTAATGCACTTTTCTTAGAGAACATTTTAATGCATTTAATAAGAGGCATGACTGCTGCATATGCAAATAAAGAAAGATTAATTTGTCAGATATAGTTTTGAAAGAAAATAAAAAAAAACTGTATACATTAATTTATAATTTTAAATTCCAAATATCAACATACATATACATTTCCAGCTTTGCAAATATATATCATATGCATGTGCATGTACATTAATGTTTAAAAATATATACACTGCTGAGATATGAATAAACAAATTGTAAGCAATGAAAACAATAAGGATGAAGTATTGGGAAGTGTGACTCAAATGCAAAAATTAATGTTAATTTTTGAAACTTTGTTTCATGAATAATATGACTGTACTTTTTTAATGGTAATTCAATGAATTACCTGCAACTTTAGATTCATAGGCTACACCAACACCACATACTCCATTGTCACGTTTTGCAGCAACTTCGCCAGCACATCGTGTTCCATGGCTGAAATATATACCAATAATTAAGAATTAACTCCTTTTAAAACATTATAATTTCTATTCTGCACTTAAAATATACATTCATTATAATTATCACAAATTATTTCTGTAAAATTACTAAATGTGTTTCACAATTAAAAAAAAAATACAGATACATTAAGATATTTAAATAGAAATGTAGCAAAAATTAAAATGGACATAAAACTACAAAAGAACATTTTTTCAAAGTCTATATCAGGCATGGCTAAACTGTGATTTATGTTATAATAAAGTGTAGATTTAGTCTTTGAAATGCAATTCTAATTTTAAACAGAAATCATGCTATGACATGCTTTTATAACATAATTAAATTTTTTACATGTTTTAGTTTTAAACAATTTGAATCTGTTTGCTTCATGTTTACATTAAAATATTGAAAAAAAAGACACATAACTTCTATATAGGAATTGAATAATATTGACTACTTTTAAGAAAAATTAATGGTAGTTGGAACAATACAAGAAACAAAGGCATTAACAGCATGTTGCATTCACAAGATATGTCAAATTTACTGAAACACATTATGAATATATGCAATTTTAACTTGAATTGAAAAAATGAAAACATGCTGGATGACATCCACTTTACAACTACTAATTTCCTGTAAAAAATCTGTTAAATTAGCAATTATTTAAAAATGATTTTCATGTATCGAAATACAATACCCATATCTCATGTGCTATCCAATCTTACTGGCTTTATTCCTTCCAGAGGTGTGCATATAGTTAAAAAAAAAAAAGAGAAGATATTTCTATTTTCTAGATTACAATATAATATTTCATTTGAATTGGTATTTTACATAAGAGTAAATATCTAAAATCCTTTTTTTTTTTACCAGTTTGTTTTTCTTAAAATCAGTTGACCCCCCCCTTCCCATAAAAGAAAACCAGAAGAAAAGGTTTAAATTTGTTTATCAATATTAAGAGTGAACGGCATAACCTACAAAAGCTTAAAATTTGTATATCATAAGAATATATATTTTCTGAATACACAGCAACAACATGAATTATTTATTTTTTCATGAATAATAAGATTAATTTAAAAATTAAGAATCCTAGTTAATTTAGCTCAAATGTTTCTTTCCATAAAAAATTGTTAACAGTTTTTAAAATGATAAATATATTTAGTTGTGGCCTCTTGTTTGTTCCTGATATCTGATATTACGACTGCTACTGACATGAAGATAGATTCACCTGGTTTACCTTATGAAACTGCAAAGCACCTCACTTTTGTGCTTTATTCTCTGTTTTTTACATATCAAAACAGTTTTTCATATATACATTTATTATATATATATATATATACATATGAAGGGCAATAGTAAATTTAATCCCTGATCATTTATATATCAGCATAAAATTGTAACAGAAGAAATAACGGGAACTATTACACATTTTTAGGACAATTTAGTTAAAGAGTTAAAAAAGAAAAGAAAGAAAAAAAAAAAAAAAAAAAAAAAAAAAAAAAAAAAAAAAGCAAATATTTCAGAATAAAAATTTCTGACAACAGCTTATTATCAGAAATTAGAAGTACTGTTAGCTACTTTTAAATTTAGTCTTCTTTCAAAATGTCACATGTAAACAAGCTGTGGATTGAAGGATATGTTTTCCCACTTTCCGAAGAGAAATATTCCTATTTCATAATACAAGAACATTGTGAAATGCATGGTATAAAAATATGAAAGTGCAAAATAAGAAACATTATCAATCAAAAAACGAAAAAGAGATTAATCATTACTTCTACCTAGAAAGAAGATTCCAAATGAAAACCTGACAAAGGTATGTACTATTTGTAAAGTTAAAATTGTGGTAACAAGAGAAAACCACTGATGCAGAAATTAATAGCAAGTCTTTAAATACACCTGAAGCAACAATAAATAAAATAATAAACCAAGATAACAACTTAAGAAAGCTGAAAAAATAATGTTCACGAGCTTTTTTACTGAGGCATATGGCTCAATGCAGAACAATTTGTAGAACCCTATATGAAAACTCTTTAGCAGGAGATAAATGGAAATACATTGCAATCCTCGATGAAGCATGGGTTTACCTAAATGAATGAAATCTCCCTTTTCCCCAAAAAGGTGTCGATTTTCAAAAATGAAGAGAAAAAGATGTACAAACCTAGTTCTATCAATGCAAACAAAGTTTTAGTAAGAGGTTCATGATTACAGCAGGATTCTCTTACAGAGGGATGTTAAAAATAAAAAGATTGGGAAAAAATTTTCAAAATCAACTCAACATACTATATTAAGAGAAAATTGTACATCTGATATTTACAGAAAAAAATCCATTTCTTTATCAAATGAGTGAAACTTTATCAAATCAAAGCAACAAGAATATATTTTGAAGAGTACCACTGTATTCCTTGAAAAAAATGCACAGTTCTTCTCAATGTAAGTATTCTGATGCTTCATCTATGGACTATTGTGCCTATGGTCTCTTGAAAAGAGCTCTTTCTAGGAAAAATAAACAGTCTTCTAATTGATATTTAATTATATAAGGGCGAGTCAAATGAAAGTGAGCCAATGCGAATATATGACAAACAGAGTACTTTATTTAAAGGTAGTCTCCATGAACATTGAGACATTTATCCCATTGACAAATGAGCCGCGTGATCCCAGTCTCATAAAACTCCTTGGGCTGTCGATTCAAAAAGTCTGTAACCGACTCCTTCACGGCGGCGTCCGACACGAATCTGGTACCCTTGAGATATTTTTTCAGTTTCCCGAAAATGTGAAAGTCGCATGGCGACAAATCTGGGCTGTATGGAGGATGATGCAGCGTGTCCCACTTGAACTTTGCCAGTTGTGTCTTAACCACATCAGCGATGTGGGGACGAGCATTGTCGTGTAGCAAGATCACACCATTCGTCAATCTTCCAGGTTGTTTGTTCTTGATTGTGACACGCAGCCGATCCAGCGTTGCGCAATATCGCGAACTATTGATAGTCTCTCCACGTTTAGCAAATTCAATCAGTAATGGCCCCTGACGATCGAAAAAAAAAGTCAATAGCACCTTTCCCGAAGAAATGACAGCCTTTGCTTTCTTCGGGGGGGGGGGTGAATTCAAATGTTTCCACTGTAAGCTTTGCCGGCGTGTTTCAGGTTCATAGTGGTGGCACCATGATTCGTCTCCGGTCACAATTGCAGACAAGAAGTCGTCACCCTCATTGTGATACTGGATGAAATGAGTCAAAGCAGCGCCGAACCTCTCCGTCTTCTGGCGGTCGTTCAAAATCTTGGGCATCCATTGAGCACACAAAAGCTGATAACCGAGATGATCATGAATTATGGTGTGAACCGAACCGTGACTGATGTTCACACGCTCTGCCAGTTCATTGATGCTTATCCTCTGTTCTTGTCTAATCAGCTCATCAACCTGTGCAATTGTGTCGGGGGTGATTGCAAGGTGGCTTGGCCCGGTCTTGGATCGTCTTTGCAACTTTCACGTCCTTCTCTTGAACCGTTTGCTCCAACGCTTCACAGTGGCTAATGCGATGCAATGTTCACCGTACACAGCAGTCATACGGCGACTAATTTCATGTTGGGAAACACCTTCAGTTGTCAAAAACCTGACCACACCACGCTGTTCCTCTTTTGGAGCGTCCATTATGTCATGCTACCGTCTTCAACCCAGTGTAAGAGGGCCTTAAAGAACTTTAACGTCACACTTTCGCGCCACTTTCGTAAATGAAGGCTGTCTCTGTGCTACGCGCATGCGCCGCAGATGATGGACCGAACCATTCTTGCTGAGGAAGGGTCACTTTCATTTGACTCGCCCTTATATTATGAAATACTGAATACTTCACAAAAGACTGTGACAGAATTATATAGCTTTTTTCCTAAGACATGAAGTGAAATGGTTAAATGCTATCATACTCATGATGACTGCAAAATTTAGTAAAAGGGTTGTAATTTTATTACTCAAGCAACCAAAGCAAAATATCTAAAATTCATACCTCAATGACACAAATGTCACTAAATGCAGTATTTGAGTTAAATACATAACAGTACTACTAAAAAAAAAAAAAAAAAAAGGTCTGTATTATCATGATTCAACATATTACTTCTTGAAGAAATACATTTTTGCTTTTCGCAAAACTAATATTTTTTTAAATATAAAAATAACATCAATCCAAAATTTGATTTTATTTTAATTTTGGAATATGTTGCTTCCCTATATAACATAAGAAATGTTTATTTACGAATTAACGTTATGTTTTTGACAATTTACAAGTGCAATGAAATATGCACATTATAAAAAGAGAGAAATAAATTAAAGATTTATGTACTATTATAATGCATGAAAACTGCAATACAAATTAGCATTAATCTCTTCTGGCAACGAAAACTGCATTAAAAATTAGCATTAATCTCTCCTGGCATAATTTAGATTTTACGAAATGAACATTTTTTAAAGATAAGCTTCAGTTTATTTCCACAAGAGCCTATTCTGAATAATGCTGTGCTTTTCAAAATTTGTTTCTTTATCTTAAAAAGTAAAAGGACTAAGTTTGAAAAACACATTTATTTATAAAAAGTGCATCAACACAATTAATTATTAAAATAAATTTAAAGCTTTGCCCTACATTATGCAGTTAAATCTCTCACTACTCAGAATGCAAACCAGAGCTTTGCCATTAAATAATTCATACATACACTGTTTCCTCTCTTGCTTCTAGAGAAAATTAAAAAAAATGGATTAAAGCTTTTTATATAGCCATTTTCAAAACTATTAAATGAAATGCCTGCAGTTTCCTGATGGATAGAATGTGTAAAAATCTATTACAATATATCGTTGCATTTCTTACGGGGCATGGATTTAGAGTGATTAACGACAACACTTGATGAAGAATAAAAACACAATTTCTTAGCCAGTATTACTCAGGACAGCTTCAAAACACGTTTACTGTCATTGAAAAACTAAAACAAACACACTGAAAGAATCAGCAACACAGCCTTCAGGCTATAACGGTGAAGACAGCTTCACAGCAAAGCACCAGAGTATAGCTCCCAACATAGTTCGGTCATTCTCGGAACTAAACGTACTTTTGAGACTATCCACATTACAACTTGCGATGCGCTGGATACCCTCAATGGTGCAACTCTTGATACGCTCCACTAGACTACAAGGCACTCGAAAGACTGCCACTTCTTGCACAGGCAGAAGGATATAGCTTTTGGCCTGCCTTCAAGAACATTCTGGGCTAAACCGGTAAGAATTCGCTCTAGAAGGTTCTCCATCTGTCTCTGGCATATCGCTAGTTTTGTCACCAAATGTCACAAATTTTGTCACCAAAGCAACCCTAAAACTGCCTTGCGAGAAGCTATTTTACTGCAGCTTGGCATTTCGTAACAATATATTTTTCAAAATAGCAACTCTTAACAGGAAGGTTCATTAAATTAGCCTTATGCAACAATTTCTCAACTTAATTATTTCAATTTGTTATTTAAAAAAAAAAAAAAAAAAAAAAAAAAAAAAAAAAACCACCCAAGAATAAACTTTATTGCTTTTGAAAATTAAAACTATATGTTTTAAATTGGTTTAATTTCTGACACCTTACCAACACTAAAACCAATATTATATTGTTTTTTTTTCCACCAAAATATGACGTAATTTAAAAATAATTTAGAATCATTTTACTGATTTTGCAATTTTCAGTTTTTAAGTACACAGTATAAGTAATAGAAACGAAATTTTGTTTAATTAGTTTTTCCATGGTAAAATTTGAAGTAAAAGATGCCAATATAGAATTATGAATTAATCAAAAAAAAAAAAAAAAAAAAAAAAAAAATCAAACTCATTTTTGGCCAAATATTTGTCTCACCATATTCTCTACTTAATAAGCCCCATATTTTTCAGTTACTGTAATAGAAAACATATGTCGTATTTTTCATGTATCCTTAAATTCTTGCACATATGTAAGAGCATGATCTACTGTTTGATGATTATAGAACACCCATTAGACCTAATCACACTGCATCCTGCATACATAATTAGCCATATTATCCCGCAGTTCGCATTAGAGCAACAAACTTCCTAAAATAAATTCATAATAGAATGAACTGCTAAAATAATGTCACACTTTGAATACTTTAAGTAATAAAATGAATTCGAAGTATTTTTAAATATGTCAACATCCAGTTTGAATTATGAAACTGGAACACCATCCAGTTAAAAAAAAAAAAAACTTTGTAACTAACATTTACTATGTCCAGTACTTTCTACAAGAAAGGAAAAAAAAATTTAAACACAAATTAGGATTACCACAGATGATAAAAATATCAGTTTATATGAAACATTGTTGAAGCAATGGTAAAAGCACAAACTTTCAGCATGTTTAAATTTAAGCTCAAGTATATCACTTGGAAAATTTATAATGTAAAATTTCACATTCCTTGATAAAGAAATGATAGAAAAAGGTAATCAGTTTACTTCCCAGATTGTAATAAAATAATGTTTATACACATACGAGTATGTTATATTTTGGATGATGATGACGATGTAGATGTTAAAGATAACAGCCCAACTGATGAAGAACTAGATGGCAGCTTGAACAATTTATTTTTGACAGACACAGCTAAACTGGGACACAAAATGATAGTACATAGGAGTATTTATCTGTTTAAATTAATGCGATTACATACGCACATATCGCATTAATTTAAACAGATAAATAGTGCAGAACTTGTCCTTTAACACAATGCATGATTTTTTACAATGTAAATAATTTGAGATTTACTTTGCCAGTAAAAAATCTTTTATTATTATTATTTTTTTCCCCCTGAATGGCGGGCACTATTTTGTCTTCTTTCAATACTGGCCAGTCCTAAGGCCAGAAGTAGTGGTCATATTTTTGTGGAAAAATCTAATAGGCGGCCACCAGCCACTATTACCTCTTATGAAGCGACAGACACAGTTACACACAGTTAAGCAGTTTGGTATCATAGTTGGCTCCCAAGCCACTATACCGCCTGGGCAGCTAGTAAAAAAACTGGCACAGTGAAATGCTTTTGGTGTAGATATGTTTAGATTCAAAATCAAAATCTCATATTATATATCATAAAATATAGCAATGGAAAAACTTTTGAATTATTAATAAATACTAGATAAGCGCGGACGTGGGCAGAGCCGATTAACCGTAATGGTAGAGGGATGGTGCCCACATCCTTCGTTACTACTACTACTACATATCAAACTCTCTGATCATAATTAGAAATATATAGTTAATTTTAAATATTTGTACAACATGAAAATTGAAATCCTAACATTTAATATTTAGAAATAATCAGCGTTCGGATAAAATCAAATTACAGATTTTCAAAATACTGCCACAACAAAAGTTATGATTTTTTTATTCAAGCTTTAAAAAATACTTTTATACATATCAAATGTCCGATGAATGCATAATATTACAAGTATTCAGCCATTAGGAACAACAATAACATATTAAATATAAGAGGGAAAAGTTAAGTTACATTCATAATCATTATTTTGACAACATATTTTACCAGGCAATAAAACACACGAAATTAATAGAATACACATCAGATTGGAACATTTAGATCATCAAAATAAAAAACACAATATACAATGATAAATAAATAATTGAATTTATGCATACAGATTTCTACATGAATCTGGTATTTTCAAGAAACTTCACCTTTTAAATTATTCAATTTAAACGGAAGTTAATTCTGAACAATAATAAGTTTTTTTTTTAAACCAAATTTAAAACTGATTTTTGGGGCAATTTGTGATAATTTAAAAAATAGTTTGTAAGTATACATGATAAGTTATGATGGAAATTTTCTTTCTTAACACTGATTCTACTTATAAAAATGTTATAAAACAACATGTGAAGCAATTTTTACTTCACATTATTAGCATTGCTCATTTATGATTAGGTGTATTGAACACACAAGAAGTCAATAAAAGTTATTAGATATATTGCATAAAACCTTACTAACACCAAAAATAAATATTTTAAATTTAAGCCTCAATACCATAAATCAATAAATACAGACAACTTCATAAAGCCCATTTAGCCAGATATATTAAAAACATACAGCTAAAAATTACACAGTGTAATGGTATTCTATAAAATGCTTTTACAGGCTATGTAATAAACTTAATGTTTATATTCATATGACATTATATTTTCACATAAATAAATTTGAAATTTTACATTAAAATATGAAATACCATCCATATTAAACATATGTGTTACAAAACTGGATACCTATTCTAGAAGTAAAAACCTAGAAATTAAAATACATTCTTACATTTTTGATTAAGAGAATTTCACAGCCTTTAATAACCAGCAACACAGAAGACAGAATATGATATATAATTAACTATAAAATTATTTTGTCAACATAGTTATTGATAATCTTCATGCATGAGTGTAACGGATAACTTTTTTTCACACCACTCAAAAGTTTTTGGAAGTACTATTGCATCTAATTCAGAGACTTCATTTAAATCAGTTAGCATAATTTCAATATCTTCCTCAGTCAACAGCACCTGTAGCCATGGTCCGTGTGCAGCAAATGGGTGTTCTACATCTACAAAGGCACCAGAAACACTAGTAGGAACAAGTGTTATTGCAACATCTCCCACTACACTTTTGAAAGTGAAATGTCTTCCATGTTTCAGTCTTCCTCTCAAAGCTAATGGAAGAATAGTCCCAGCTTCTAAATTAAACTGCAGATGAACACTTTCTAAAAATTTTGTTTGCAATAACTCAGCTGGTTCCAAAGCAGCAACTTCACTGTTCATATTACTATCATAGGAATCTTTTCTTGAGCTTCCTTCATGCTGATCTGCTGCAGCTGACATACCATAATACCTGTTACTACTATTTGGTCTAATTTGAGGTAGTACAGGCTTTGTATTAAGAAGACCTTTCTTTAAAGTAGCTTTAATTTGTTCTGATTCAAGGACTGAAATTTGAGGAAGTCCAGGTTCTGATTCACTCTCTTCATCTGGATCATCTTTGTCCAGATTAGTCCGTTTTTTTTCTTGCCAAGAACACCTGGCACTGACACCACTAAGATTTGACCCATCTGTTTCGATGCCATGATCAACTGCTTCTTGCACAGTAGGATCAAGTTCGAACATACTTTCACCTCGTCTCATATCCGTGATCAGCCAAGGGCCGCCAGCTCCTTTCACAGACTTCATTAATTCAATGATGCCAGGGCCATTCCAACCCTGAGCTGCTTGCAGTTCCTCCGCACAGACTCCAACTATCTGAATGAATGTGACAGGACCAAATGGCGTTTGCACCGTTCCAAGTTGCGGATCTTCAAACATTAACATATGTTGTATTCTCGATTCACTATTATCTAATGGACAATGCCAAGAAACATGATCCCCTGAACAAAGGGTGTTTTCAGACTGAAATACATATTTTGCCAAAGCTTGCATAATAGCAGCAGGCCATGTTGGAGGTACTTGCTCATCTGGCTCACGTTTCAGACGAAATGTTAATTCGAAACCAAATCCACTTGGGGTATCACCCCCTGATATATCATGAACTCTACCATCTCCATGCAAATCTGATAAACCAAAACTTACATAATGCCAATGAGGAGTTATATCAGCAGTGGGATTCCCAGGATTTGAATACATACTGATGTAATCCAGGGGATCTGGTCCACCTAGCCAATATTTAACTAAAGCAGTCACTTGTAAAGGATTTGATTGGTCAGGGTAGATCTGCCGACATGCAGTATACAATGTTTCCAATCCTAGAGGAATTACAGGCCTCGGCAGAACAGGATATCCTCTAAAAATTGAAGGCCGCTGTATAAACTTACTCTCCATTTTTAATAAATTTTTCGTCGCCAGTTCCCAAAAATATTAATTTAAAAACCTTCGATTTAACGCATTGTATTTTTAAGACACACAGACCAGTTTAAAATTAGATGTACCAGAGGAAACCTCAATTCAAATGCACGAAATTTTATATCACGTTACACTTGGACAAGGATGCCAAAAATTATTTTCCTTTCAAGTCATACAGAAAACAAACAATAATGCGATGATTCAAAATATACAGTTAGCTTAAAAATACATATATCTGATAATCAAAAGAATAATTAGTTCAATAACAGAAGTTTAAAACACTGAAATCAACAAGTCAATTATCAATGCCGACGCATCCATCGTTTACATCCAGTTGCGGAGTAGAGTTGAGATGCAAAATGGATGCCTCTTTGCAGTCGATCAACTAGCTTTAAATATAGTGCTGCCATCTAGTAGCAGGTGATTAAACTAATATCTTTTGCATAATAATTGGCAAATTTCGTAATAAATTTAATAGAAAAATGAAAGTTTGCTCATTTTCTAGGCAATCTAATGCGGTTTTTATATGGAAAATTAATTTTTAAGGATGTATATTAAATACGTTTTATTTCAAATAATAGAGAAATTGTACTAACTCGTAAATAGAAAGAAAGGAAACATGTATCATTTTTTCTCAAGTACATCGAGCCATTTTTTTTATGATGAAAAAAACAAATACGTTAAATTTATTAGTTTTTAAAAAGAGAAAAATTTCAGATATAATTCAGAAAATAAATATGATAATAGTCATAATAATACAAATGGGAATTCTTTTCCTATTAATGTTAACATATGCTAACATTTTTAATTCCAGTGTAGCACTATTTTTCCAAGATTCTGGACTGTTTTAGTTCAGAATTCCTTTTTACTATCCATGCTATTTGAACAGCAAATGCAAAAATTACATATAAGTTGATGCTATACAATATGAAATATTGCAAACATAAAGTAGGCTCAAGAGATTATTTCACTCCTCCTGCTAAAAAATTCTCGAACTGTTCCTAATAACACTCTGATTGCCAATTTAAAAGAAGATTACTGTATTATTTCGATCAATAAATTAGCGAAACAAGTTAGCTCTAGTTGTATTTTATGTAAAAGATTCAAAGCCAAACCTACAGAACCACCTTTTGGACCTCTTCCTAGGGACAGAATAAAGGCTGCTGCAGTTTTCGAAGTTTCAGGGACTGATATCGCAAGCCTTTTGTATTTATGTTCTATCAAAAATACATGGGTTGTACTTTTTACCTGTGCCATTTATAGAGCTCTCCATCTTAAATTAGTCTATTCCCTGTTTACAGAAGTTTTTATTATGCCTTTAAGAAGATTCTTTGCTCGAAGAGGTAGAGTAAATATAATCTACACTGACAAAGGTACAATCTTCATTGGTTCAAATAATGCTATAAGAAATTTAGATTGGGAGAAGACCGTGTCATTTTCCACTATCAAGAAAACCAAATGGAATTTTAACCCTCTAACAGCCGCCTGGTGGGGAGGATGGTGGGAGTGCATGATTAGAATGCTGAAAGAGATGCTAAGAATTTTGGACAGAAAACGTTTTGACTATGAAGAGTAGGAAACTATTCTATGCGACTACGAAGCTACAATAAACTCTAGGCCACCTACATATATTGAAGAAAATTTGGAAAGTCTCAAGCCATTAACTCCCTCTTTGTTTCTAACAAAGTATTCCTAGTAGTGAAACAACTGATTTAGAAAAAAATGACAGTAAAACCCTAAATATAAGATTGCGTTTTGTACAAAAATTAAGGCAGGGTTTAAAAATGAGATTTCGGAATGAGTATTTAGCAATGTTGATTCACAAAGGTAAGAGCCGGGAAGAATCTTTCAGAGCTGAAGAGGTCGCTCTTTTAAAAAACTGATGGCAAGCGTACCAACTGGCCTTAAGGAATTATCACTTCTGGAGTCTCTTCTGGAGCAGATGGGCTTTTAAGAGTTGCCAGAATGAGAACAACTGATAGAGAGAAGTTGAGCCGTTCCAGACACTTTATAGTTAGAAATCAACAGTTCGGAAAAGTTACCATTCATTGCTCAAGAGGCTCGAAGGGTTGAAAATGCCCATAACAAGATGCTTCTACCCCCTGCAGTTAATGATTCAGATTCCAGTGAAGATGATGATTTGTCGTGCAGATTTTGTCACTAGAGCTGGTCCACGTGTTAAAATTCCCAATAGACTTGATTTATAACTGTTGTTGCAATTTATAGGTATTCTGCAAATTGCAAGGTGGAAGGCTGTTTGAATAATGCCAGTTACAAATGAACTCTGTTGAAACACCAACATTTAAAAAATTATATTTTTTCAATTTTTAGTTTCCCCCCGGTCTGTTTATTGTTTTTTCCCCAGTTCTGTTTATTGCTATGTCAATTTTATTGTTACATCTCCTTTATTTACTATTTAGAAGAAGTTTGCAAAGCAAACAAAAACAAATTATGTAAAAATTTGTATGCTTATTGTGTTGTGAGGGAGCAGACAATTATTTATTATTGGATTGGATTATTTAACTTTGGCAATGCATAATAAAGCTGTTTGCTTACTCGCGGAAATGCCATTGCGAGGAAATGATAAGGATCTGTATTTCATCTTTTGATCTGTATTTCAAGTAAGAAAAATCACGAAAACCACCATGTGCTAGTCTTTTCATTCACCAAGAATAGAATCGGGAGTGAACTATAACTGTTTTAAGGATTTCACTATTTTGCCTCTGGCCAGTTAATTGTAATAAAATGATTGTTTTTCAAGATTTTGCTTAATTTATAAGTAGTAGTCAATGTTTTACTTTGTTTACACTTATTAGCTGTTAGCGAGACTTGTTTACTGAATCTACTGAAAGTGCCTGACTTCTGCTGGCCGTGATCTGAATTTAAGTGAGCAAAAAACATTAATTGGCCTGTAAATATGTAGATAAAGGGTAGGCGAGTTTCGCTTAATTTCTAGTCAACGAGAAAATATCTGGGGAGTTTCAGAAAAGTGCAGCACAATCTATAACTATTCATAATTAGTTCAATTAGTTCAGCACAGTTGGATGTAAATTTTAGTTATCATAACGTTCGGTTGATTATAGTAGTTTATTTTGACTTTTCCTAGCTTACGGCTAAATTAGTTTAAGATGGCTTCAGACACTTTGCCTATCTAAGACATTGAAAGCCTATCTAAGACTCATTAAACAGGAAAACTTAAACTCACGTTACAACGTTTCCCACTACTTCAATGCAAAGATGGATACTACTAGTAATCTCTAAGTATGCCGAAGAATGTTAAAACCTGAGAAATTCTTCATAGCTGTTTTACAAATTAAACTAACTGAAAGAAATTATAAGCCAATCTGTAATGTTTCATCAATTAATCTACAATTATTGCGTACTGATTTATTCGCTACTTTTCCAATAGTTCATCGCAAGGACAATTATTAATCATGGTTTATTTCAGAGAAATACTATTTCAACCTTAGTATAGGATAAGTCAAACGATATGGTATTCCAATGCAAGCTTTTTGTAATATAAAATATTATATGTTTTTTTCTGGGGGGGAAGGTGGAAGAGGGCTGCCACTAAATACTTTTTTCAATGAGTTTATTACTTTTTGCTGCATGAATCCCGCAATTATGATTCCTGTTTCATTCGCTTCGAATTCACCTATGACAAATAACGGAGTGGCGCTACGACCACCGGTATCTTGGAAGCTTACTAAACTTCTGATATTCACCCGCCCTTGGAAGTGTGAATTCCATTCTTAATTTAGAAACAGCGATTAGTTGATATAAAAAATGTAAGCAGACAAAGTAAAGCAGGCTCAAATCTGATACAAACACATGTCAAAAGGGAAAAGGAAAAACTTCTAAAATTATTAAACACACTTTCCATCATTTTGTACTGAATTTAGAACAGAGAAATGGAATTTCATATTTATGCATCATAAATTTAACACAGCGACTAAAAGAATTATTTTCTCTTACCTGTTGAACCAATCATCGGTGTACCTCGGGTACGGGTATGGATCGTTGCTACTGAAATCATAACTTGCTTTGGCGTTCTAAAAAAATCAAAAAATTTTACATAAAGCATACTCGTTATCAAAATGGATAAAAATAACATGAAAGGGTTATTTATATCAGTAATGTTAATAGTAAGGTGTAAATCAGGAATACCACATCATGCTCTGTGGCAGGGTTGAAACCTCTTTAATACTCATCCGTTGGCTAAATGATCAGTTCAGCCAAACAGTTAGCTATTAAGAGCTGTTTGAATCAAATAATCTTAAAGCCCCTTTTTATCTCAAATTCCAAGTCTATGCACTCGACCGTATTATATCACCCATGAATTTTTTTTTTTTGCATTATTACGACTGATGTCACCTTTACATACCTAAAAAAGCTTTATCAGCAATACTTTCCTCCTAGAATCTCGTGTTTTAGCAATGCTTAGTTCAGTTGATACTTATTGCTATCAGGTTTTCTCTATTATTTGGTTTCCATGCTATTACAGTTTCTCCAAGTTTGCGGTTCTCATTCAGATCACAACTCTTCATTTACTTATCGTTCGCCCAACTGTTCACAGAAAAGACACTTTTGGCAACTATTAATAATGTTACTTGGATAGTTCAGGAAATGACTTGGATTTTATTTCTTTACTTTTGATTTTGTAATTGGTTTTGATCATTGCTTATTGCTTTTGTATGCTTTTAAGAACTTACTGGATGACTGGCTGACATTTTTATGAAAAACATGGATGTTTGATTATCTAATTAGAAATTGCCCAAAGTCTAGAGAGGTATATTTCCCCAAATAAGTGAAAGGAGTTTAAAAACATGTGTATCACAGAACCTTTTAGCGTTGATGTTAACGGAAGCTTTATGAAATAGCTTCATAATAGTATCAAAGCTGCAATGAAAGATCCCATAGCTCACATGGCAATCAAGGGACAGTCTATACGATTTCCCGTAATTACTCATTAATAGGCTGGTAAAACTCAAATAAACAAATTACTTTCTTCAGTGCTGAAACACCGTATCGAGGTTATTCTATTGTTAACAGTTAGGTCCTAAACCTAATGTCTGAAACATCGAAGATTAGGTAAATCCACCAACAAGGCTGATTCCTCTAATTAAACTAAAATTATGAGAATCTTAAAGCTAATTTGATTCTCATTCATATTGTCTCATATTTCCATCATTACCGAAGAAAGCAACGAAAAAGGCCTCCAAAGCCGAAAACATGCAAGAGGGAAATTCTGCATACTAGATCTTTCCTGGAAACTCCGTAACCAATTTTGTTTCAGCTGGAAGCTTCCCGAATTCTGCAGTAACCAATCTCCAAGCAGCTTCAGTTTCGCTTTGTATTGACCAGACTCAGAGACAGGAAGAAGTTACTGAAAATAACTCATCTTTCCAGTTTTACAAGCGATCGGAGAAAATCTCGCTAATCGTTAAAGATCCTAACTACAACTGGGAAACATTAGTTAAACTTATCAGCGATTCACAGATTTAAGAACATAAAGCAAAGATGACGGTTCTGACACCTCTGCAACTAATGGTTTCAAAAGCGATTCACAACCTACTTTGAATATAAGGCACTGATTTTCCATTCATGTGTATTTTCTGATGATAAAGAAATGAAAGCAATTAGACGCGATCTCACACATAAACTGAATTCAGCGAATGTGATGAATTTATTTCATCCGGATTCCCGGTTTATGAGTTCATTAATTTACACTCATGTCCATAAATTAAGGATAATGCAAAATCAGGCAAAGGAAAAGTTAGAAGCAAAACAAATTTGACTTATTTGTAAAGCTTATTTATTAAACAAAAGGTAAAGAGCAAAAACAGATGCTATATGTTTGATATTATTAAAAAAATTAGCGATTTTTTTTCTCCCTGGAGCAAATTACAAAAAAAAAAAAAAAAAAAAAAAAAAAAAAAAAAAAAAAAAACTTATTTACAAAAAACCAATATTACATGGTTGGTTTGATTGTTAATACATTGTATGTCTCCCAGACGATGCAATACAGTCCGTACAACGCCTAGGCATCTGAGTATCAAATTATCGATCTGATCTTGGGGGATATTACATCACTCAAAAAGCAATGCACTCCGAAGTTCCGGTAGACATGTAGAAGGAGGTTGACGGGCTGCAACTCGTCGGCCAAGCATGTCCCACACGTGTTCTACTGGTTCAAGTCTGGTGAGAATGCTGGCCAGTCTGTACGGGTGATATCCTCCGATTGAAGGCATTCGCTTACGATATTTGCACGGTGAGGACGGGCGTTGTCATCCATAAACACAAATTGTGCGCCCATGGCGCCCCGAAACAAACGTACATGTTGTTCCAGAATGACGTCCCGATAGATTTGGCTTGTCATGATTCCAATTTGAACATGAAGGTCAGTTCTGGAACCCAGAATAATTCCACCCCAAACGAGCACTCCTACACCACCGTAACGGTGTCGTTCAATGATGCTTTCTTGGTGGTAACGAATACCTGGAGCTCTCCATATGAAAGTCCGGCGAGAATCAGACTGCAAGCTAAACCTGGACTCGTCGGAAAACATCACACAAGCCCACTGTTGCGGTGTCCACAGTGCATGCTCTCTACTCCAGGCTAACCGCAGGCGACAGTGAGTTGCAGTAAGTGGAACGCATCTGACAGGTCTACGAACATATAACCAATCTGCCCTAAGCGTCTGTACACGGTCTGCCTTGAAATTGTCGTACCAGTGGCTGAAGAGAGCTGACGAGGCAGGTCTCAGGCTGTGCTCCACCTGTTTGTTTTGGCAGTAAGTAACTGCCAAATACCGGTCCTTATTCAGCGTTGAAACTCTGGGGCGACCTGTGCTGTAACGTCTACTCACATTACCATTATCTTGGAATCGTTGCCAAAGCCTGGAGATGACACTCTGGGCAATTCCAAGTTCGTCTGATACTTCCAGTTGGGTACGCCCACATTCCAGACGGCCGATAATTCTACCACGTAAAAAATCATCCAAATGCGTCCTTTGTGTCATAACTATTCGGTTATTGCACTGAAATGCTTATAAAGCGCCTGCGAACAATTTTACTTCTTTGCCTGTATTCCTTATATATCACACTCTTACACTCTCGTCATTGTGACGTACCATCGGTGTCATCTGGTTACTTTCTGAAATTTGCATATGATTCTTGAAGATGTGTGTAGTGATTTTACAGTTGATATATTTATTTTAGAGTTCGATCCGCGTGACTCCGAATTATCCTTAATTTATGGACATGAGTGTATTTTGACACAGATAGAAAGAAAAAACTTTATTTTTGTTTATTTTATTCTGGAATGCCAATAATCTATAAAACACACAGATGTTACCGACTTTGTCATATGGCATGACATAGATATGCATATTGTCATGGAGATTCATGCACCTGTATTTTTAAAAATTAATATCCTTATGGATCATGCATATTGCTGCCATAGGCTATGTACATAGGTAATGGAGTTGTGATTTTTTTTTCTTGAGAACTCTACTTCTTCAGGCTTAATAATTTCCTTTAACAATGATGAATTAAAGGGACTTTCTTAACATCAAAAATATGAAATTTTGTATTTTCTACAATCTCCTTGACTTCCCTTCTAGTGAATGCTCAGCTTATACGAAGATTCTAATCCAACTGATATAATTTGCCGTTTTAAGTGTAAACATAGCAATTAAGGGTATAGAGCCTCTAACAACAACGGCAAAATTTCTACATTAATAAAAATAAATCTTCATAAATGACTCATATTATAATTAAGATAAAATAACACCCCAAACAAGTATTAATTCAGAATTCAAACAACAAAAATCAGCGTTATATTTGCAAATTTTCACAGAAAATTCATACAGTCACAAAATGGCGAACATATCAAGTGGAAAAAAAAGCAAAAAGTAATCCTGTTGAGAACTCCTATACTTAAGATAATCTAACACGTCGAACTAGTATTAATTTAGAATTCAAAAGACAAAAATGTGAAAATTTTACATATAGCCCTCTCAGTTATAGACCTTATTCTGACATTCATCATTCTGACTCCGTAGACGCAGAGTTCCATATTACATTCTTATGGAATGGATGATAGATCTTCAGACAATGAAAGAGTAAATTCACCAAGTAATTACACTCCGTGTAATCACCTTCAAAATGTTCTTCTCTCGCACATCAGAAATTTAATTCAACTAAGCAATTCTACAAGGAAATGATGGCAAAATTATAGTGATTCAAAAGATAAGATTATCATTAACAAGCGGAACAAAAAATTACAGAACAGATACAAGAGTATAAGCAACATTTCTGGAAGGATAACATCTGTAATGTCTGCGCATTTGGTGGGTCTTTGCTGGAAATTTTAGAAAAACTAAAATCCAACGCTAGTACTCCCTATATATTTGGTGATATTTATGCTTTATTTGACGTTAAAATAAAACAAACTATTTTTCTGATAACTTAGTAACATAATTCAAACCAATTCTGATAAAATGTGAATTTTAAAAGAGAAGGTTAAGACATGTACACGCATGGGAAAAACTTCAGTTTGCTTTTAATCTTTGCATCAAACCTACCAGAGTTCGCGAAATCAAATAAATAATTAAGAATATCATCAATAAAAATGATTCTAGCATGGATAAATAGTCGTCTTAATATAATTCCATATTTGCAAGTATTTGCAGTTCCTACCTTTACAAATGCTTTTTTCTTACTAAATGGAAATGTTCAAGTGTTATTGTGATTTCGAAGGTAGAAAAGGAATTTACATTACCTAACAATTATGAATCTATTAATCTGCTTTTCCGCCCGTGAAAAATGTATGAGAGGTTCACTTCCTTTCATGAAAGACTTCATGGAAAACATGTTGGTCTACGACTATGGAATTTATCACAATGACTAAATTCATTGCAGTTGGTATTCGTAATAAGCTATGCGCGGCTTTATGTATACAGAACATCGCGAAAGTATTCCACTGCGTATAAAGCGATTAAAATTTATCGCAACCCTATCACATTCTTCAAATCTTTTAACAACTTCTG